TGACACTCTAGCCCACTGAGTCCCAAAGAAACTGTCACTTTCCATTTTTATGATTCTACAAAACCTAGGATTTTATAATTTCATGCGCTTCTACTGAAATTCAGTTATTTTTTATGATTAGTGTTTAATTGTATTGTTTACTTTTAGTTCCATGATTTGATTGGTATGTTCATAAATCCATAATAAATATGTATTTTCATGACTCAAAATTATGTTCTTTCAAATGAATCTTTCAGATATTCATAATTTTAGATAGTTTCAGATAAAGTGTCTTCAACATATAATCAATAATTATAATTTTTAAATCATTATTCATGAGCTACTCAATTATTATTATAATTAAATATTATTTCAGTATCATTAGACTATTACTGTATCAGTCAATTATAGAGTTTGGGTAAAGCTCACAATCAACAGTCAAAATCATGTTAGATTCTTTAGTAGAAATCCCTAAGTAAAAGAACTACATGCCAAACAAGGATATGAAGGGGACTCCCAGTTGAGGCAGTCGCCTTAGTAATTCCATTCGCTCATCAACCTTTATATCTTTGCAATGTATAATAGGCCCTTTAGAAGGGGATTATATATGAAAATCTATAAGGTAGCTTACATTATTCTATGATGGTTTTAGTATATCCCACTTTCAGTCTATAAATACCATTACATGACCAAACATTTAGTTATTTCGATACAACATTTATCAGACATCATATTATTTACTTGGTCAATGCATCAATATTTTTCAAAATTCAACATGTCTAATATTCATTTATATTAAGTATTATCTCTCATACTAATACATTCAAATTTCTAGCCACATACCTTTTGATTTTTTTATCAAGCTCGCGGTTTTTAAGATGTCTAGTCAAACCCAACCTAACTCCTCACAGAACCAAGATAACTCCTCAACAACTCTATTGGGTTGCCTGTTTCAGTAGGGTACCTCATCTAATGATCCTCTTTGAATATTGTATTCCACAAAAATTTCATTTCTATTCTCCTTAGTATGGCCTCATAATCTCCATTGTAGACCTCTGGTACACATAGAATCTCAGTCACAGTTTGCACCCCAGAGGGATATCCTTTTCTCAGAAAGAAAAGGAGGGGTTAGGGTCATCCCAAATTATTGGTAAGAGGGTATAGGACTCCTTCACCCAGAGTGAGTGTGCAATAGGGGATCTCAACTAGTGGGACCCAACTAAGATCTTCTAGCCGAGTTTGCAAACTACTTGCATTCTCCGCCACACCCTGCATAGCAAATAGACAATAATAAAAAAGATTCGTCCCTATGTAATTAAACCTTACTATCCTTGTATGTAAACCTCACAAATGGTTATTCTTACTTGGAGTGTCTACTATTGAATTCCAGGGTTGCAAAAAATAAATAGGTGTATTGAAACTCTCAAACTTTCGTAGAAAAGGCATTTTGGAGAAAAAAATTCTCACCCTTGGCCTAACTAGGAGGTTTTTTGAGGTGGTCTCCTCCTATATAAACGCATACTCCAAATAAGACAACTCCCTCTATAATAGCCTTTTGTCATTTTAGAAGTTAAAGGTGTGCTTCAATGGCGGCCCTTGACCTATAAAATATGTTTCAAATAAAATAACTTCATATTAGTGTTCCTAAAGTATCCTACTACAATTATACGCAAAAACGGGACATTATAACTTCTAAATATTGCCCAAATCTAAGTATTTAACGAAGAAAAACCTTAAAGTTTCCTCCTATTTTGGACCTATTTTTGGCTATATGCCCAGTACTCTTATATTCAGAATGATCTGGGAGAGTCTCAAATATAAGGGATGCATCAAGGCTTTAACAAGTTCAGCAAATAAGAGCCACATTTTCCAAATTCAAAAACATCAAAACCAAAACTCTATTCTACTCAACCAAATTGTAACATGTGAAAATCATTATAAACTTAAGTAATGGGAGTAAAGAAAACAATTATTACCTAAGCATTAACATTTGAATGGAGTGATCAAGAGTGAAAGGTAAGTTCTTTGAATAAACTAGAAGATAATGAGCGAGAAACCCATCCCTCTCCCTCTTATTCTAATTTCTAAGTCTTCTCATGCCACTATGGAGGGAGTATCTCACTATAAAAGCTCCAGGTTGGTGCACGACAATTTTTGTTATTTCGTTTAGGTAATTTCTCTAATCTATTTAATTGCAAGGCTATGATATACTTGGATACTCAGAGAATGTAGTTTTCTATTGTTCACACACTGCTAATAAACTAGAGAAAAGCGACGGCCAAAAAGGGCGGAGTGCGTTTGAAAAGAAAAATAGAATTAAACTCACTAATAATTAGGTACAAGTTCCTCCCTAGTCTATGATCGAAACTTTAGAGACATACCTTAACTAAACTAGGATCAATTTACCCCACCGCACCCCACCCCACAAACTTATTTTCTTTTGGTTATTTTACAAATCTTTTGACTTATGTATAGGGTAAATAATTTATAAGTAAATTAATATTTGAATGATTTATGTAACAAATGGTACTTTCTCTGCCGTTAAGGTTTTCAATCTATTTTCCTCCTTTTTCTTGCTTTTTTGGTAATTAAATTTCTTGTCCATTAAAAATAAATGAAATGATAGTGTACAACATAACTATATAGATCTAATGAATCGAATGATGACATGACTAAACAACATGGAAGTGAGATTCATAAGTTTCAAAAGGACGACTTTAAAATGGTTGATTATCTATAGGAATGGGATGAATAATCTTAATTACCAGTATTACCTGCAAACTACATTACTATAGAGGACATGAAGATTAAATATGTGGAAAATAAACATTTAGTGTCTTTCCTCTTATATAAATCATTAATAATGTTATGAGTAATGTCCAAAGAATGAAATCATAAGACAGCTAGTCCATTATTATCATACAAGAAACAAACTTCGTATCATAAACATTCAGGATACTTGTATCGAACAACGGATATGTATTTTCAATCTTATCATAATTTTTTTGACTCTATATTTTTTATTAACTCGAGTCTCTAGTCCATCCATTGGTTTCTTGTTTGAAAGAATCAAAGTACTACATACTAGTCGTAGGGTACTCCTATTATGGGGGTAGGAGAACAATTATGTTTATAATTCATAACTAAATATTGTAAACTTATCCCTCCCTTTGAGCATTATCACTGTTAGACCTTAAAATATAGACTCTTTCAGAAAAGATACTAAAGGAGGACTTTAAACCACGAAACAGTACTACCAATTGCTTGAAAGTCTATTTATGACATAAAGTGAAGGAAATACACTACATGTATCCTGGACACGTCTTTTATCTTCATGTCCTCTCTTATAATGTATTCTGCATCTTATTTAGGTAATTAAAACTCTTTATTCTACTCTTGCTAATAAGCAATAGTCTTAATGTCGTCCTCTAGAAACTTGTGAATCCCACTACCTTGTTGTTCGATCATGTAATCATCCATTTAATTGAGCTATATATTATATGCGAGTATATCCCTATATTTAAAAGAACTCATCATGTGTAAAATATCCAAATCATTATCAGCATTTACCGAAATGCCAATCGTACTTAGTTTAATACTAAAGGTGCATGTTGTCTTAAATACCAAATATCTAATTTAGTTTGTCAAATTGATGAATCTCAAAATTAGACTCATTTAGGATTAATAATAACAGTTTTATTGTACTAATTGCCTATATAATGCCCTAAAATGATATTTATGAGTTTATTTGCAACTAGGAAGACTAAAAAGCAAGGCAAGGACATTATTGGAAAAGGGCAAAGAAAAACTAAACATGTTTAAGAAAAGCAAAGCTGAGGATGCCAAGATCATTTGGCGATTCACCAAGTGGTCCTTCATCTCTCCTAAAGTTGTACCATGACAACCTTAGACTGAGACAACTCGGCGGTGGACTGTGGCCTTTGGAATGCTTATTGGATCGGCGAAGGAGTCTTAGCCCGCCTAAAGTTACAAAATGATGAGTGATGATGCAAGCAAAAATGGCGATGACAACATATTTCCAATCAGGTCGGTGAGCCCGATCTGTATCGCCTAAAATCACAACACATAAAGGGTGAAAATTTTAGCTAAAAAGGCGACATTGATGAGAATTTAGCACATCACTGACTTGGTTGGCGACGCTCGACTTATACCACAGAATGACCACGAATGCCAAAATTTGGCAGTGAATAACTTGATTTTTGAATAGAAAAATCAACGCCCTTACTTTTTAGACTCTAGGATTTTGATCCTAACACTAGATTTTTAAGGTTTTGAGTTGAATTTGAATTTGAATTTTGATTTTAAGTTGATTTTAAGCATTGTAAAGACGGAAATGTTGCTACCTATACTGTGGAGAATATTATAATTGTAATACGGTTTTGCTTTTTACTATGCATAACTAGTATGCCCATTCTTGAGGGTGTGATTATGTTATTAATTGTCTCTATTAGCTTATGAGTGGTATTAATTACTAATTTCACTATTGTTTTTATGTGGGCTCGATTTATAAATATTTAATTCATGATTTATAGCTTCAAATGTAGTTCTTGTATACTATTCTTTGGTTGTTTGAGAAATATTTTCTAGAATTAAGGATATATATTAATGATTGTAGTTATTGGATAATTGTGGATTCAACTTGAGAGAGTAAGTCTAAATTTGATCTACCTCAATACCCTTACTTGAAACAATATGGCCAAGAAAAGCTACTGTCACAACCAAGACCGTCGTGATTGGCAACAAAAGCAATATATAACTAAGGCATGTAATTACGAAAGTAAGTTAAATACTTCAATACGTTCCATTAGTAAGTTAAATAATTAAAATCAATTACATTATTCATTAAAGATCTAATACTAACTAACAATGCAGAAGACAAACCTAAAATATAAAAGTCAATGTAACAAAACTAGAAGCCACAACCAAATCTAACAAGAACGGTTACTCTGTCCCTGGCATCCCTTTATTCCCCTTCATCTTCTGGCAAGCGAAAACTTGAGATGTTAGAAGGTGCAAAATCAATAGGTGCAGGAGCTGCTACAATTGCTTCAGCAGGAGCTACTATCTGTATTGGAAACGTCCTTAGTTTCTCGATTCATTCCGTGGCGCGATATCCATCATTGGCAAAACAATTATTTGTTTATGCCATTTTGGGCTTTGCTCTAACCGAAGCTATTGCATTGTTTGCCCAATGATGGCCTTTTTGATGTCATTCGTATTCCAAGTTCGTTAGTAATCGTTTACGGTGTGTGGATAAGCAGGAAGGGATCCCTGTGGTTAGACTAACTCTCTAGTAAACTTTCTAGCTACTAAAACAAGGTCTAGGTCCGAAAATGATAGACATAGACTAAAGACAATTCCATGGACGCCGAACAATGTGGCTCACCCTTGAACTCAAAGTGATCACCGATCTGTTAAGTCATCAATCTCGAAGCTATCAACAATCTCCTAAGTCAGTCAAGAGACATTTGAAGATGATCTGTACCTAAAAACAATATGAGCAAGTGCAGAATCAGTATACAACAGCAGTATACTTGTAGAAATCTGGTGGTTATCCCACTAGTATAACATAAACAAGCAATTATATCATTATAACACATGTATAAAATTCAACATATTCAATACTATCATAAACATCAACATCACAATTCACATTCTTTATCACACAGTTGGTTTTCTAACAGAACCAAAAGTCAAACTGTTAGCATGCTAGAACATGGCAATCCATTTTAATTTTTATTTCGGAACATTGCAACTTATCCCAGTGAGCATACCAGAACGTGGCGATCCGATCACAATTAGTGTTTTGGAATATGGTAGCTGATTCCAATCATAGATCAAATAACACACCAAGATCACCCATTCAAATAATAATTTCATGATATTGATATTCATATATCTCATTCAACCTATATGATCAATATTGCAACATGCATACATATACAAGTATCACAATGAAGCAAACCAAGTATATATCACATAATCATAGAATCACCACCATAGCCTACCTCGAAAAAATCTTGAAACTCTAGACAAATGGATCCTTCCGTTTAAATATTCGTAGCCTGTTCTAGTCTACAAATAACAATTCCTATACGGGAATCAATAAAGTAACACTAGATTCCCAGGATACTGACAACCTACGAACCCTAGTTCAAACGAATGACCCCATCTAGTCAATTTAGGGTTAATTCCACCATAGGATTATTTAAGAAATCCTTCCATATAAATATTGACCCATAATAAAACATTCTACTAGTTGAAAAAACAAATTCCAGAGGTGAAAAACTTACGTCTAGCTTAAAGAATGGTGGAAAGCGAGTTGGAATAGCTCAGGGGTAGTCTATTAATTCAAAAAGGGAAAAAGTACAAATAAGGTTGTCTAAGGGTTTTATTTATGAAATTAAAACCCCCCATCCCGCTACAGCAACACCTATAAGTGAACTAGTGAGATCTATTTCCAAAAATCCCAAAATCCTTCAATTCCATCTCCGCTTCACGTGCTATAGCAGCACCATCCCGCTATAGTTGTGTCGCTGCAACGCCAAGAATCCCGCTGCAGTGGCACAAAGAGAGGAAGTGAGCTTACAATAGATTTTCAATTTCTTGCTTTCACAACATACTCTTAGTGACTTGATCAGAAAAAGTGCCCTTAACGCAAAGTCAATCTCGTGATTTACTTATCTAAACTTGATGGTGTACAGTCGTACAAATTTCTTAACGAGTTATCAATCGTTTCATATAATCTAATCCACCTTTACTCCACTTGATTTTTACCAGATCACCCTACCCCTTGATGACTCTAAATTCCTCCAAATGTGAACAAGGTTGGGAAAATTCTAGTGTTATGAAAATGATTTTCTGGCCTCGATTTTTCCCCATTAAAATTTCTACAATGACGAAACTCGGTTGTTACAATTGATACAACTTTACCCTTCATTCGTCCCCAAGTGATTAACTAAGGAATGATAGAATAGAAAAGGAATAAGGTTGTACCTGATTCGACAAGCAATTGCAGATACTTGTCTCGCATATCCTTCTCTGTCACTCAAGTAGCTTCCTCAACTTAACGATGCTTCCATTAAAATTTCACGGACTTAATCTCTTTGGTCCTGAACATCAAAACATCATAATCAAGAATAGAAATCGGTTCCTCCTAAAAATGTAAGGCCCTTTTCTAGCACTATTGAGTCTCACTTAACGATATAGTCACCATCATTGTGATACTTCTTCAACATAGACACATGAAATACAGGATGTACACAAGACAAATTTAGAGGTAGCGCCAATCTATACACCACCGGCGCTACACGTTTAAGAATCTTTAAGGGATGAATATAACGAGGACTCAACTTACCTATCTTACAAAACCTTATCACCCTTTTCATGGGTTATACCTTGAGAAGAATATTCTTGCCCATCTGGAATTCCATATCTCTAACCTGGTGATTCACATACTTCTATTTTCTACTCTACACGGCTAGAAGTTTGGCTTGAATGCTCCTCACCTTATCTTGCGCATCCCTTACTATGTCAACCCCCAAAGGTTTAAATCTTTGAATTTAAACTAACCTATGGGTGATCTATATCTTCTCCAATATAATGCCTCAAATAGTTCCATACTAATATTTGAGTGATTACTATTATTATAGGATAACTCACGTAGGGGTAGGAACTTAACCCAATGCCCGCCAAAGTCAATTATATAAGTTCTTTAGATTTCCTCCAAAACATGTATAGTCCTTTATGATTGCCCATCCATCTGGGGATTTCCCAAAACATGGGAGTGAAATTGGTACTACGTCTGAGATAATGGGAAGGGGCACACCATGAAACCTCACTATGTCCTTTACATAAATCCTAGATAAATGTTCACCATTGTAATATTACCTTACCGAAATAAAATTGTCTGACTTAATCAACCTATAAACCACAACCCAAATAGAATTAAATTCCCCAACGTCTTGGGAAGACCAAAAAAATCCATGACTATCCTTTCCCACTTCCATTTCGGAATTGACATCTTTAGGAGAAACCTCGCAAATCTTTGATATTCATACTTCACTTATTCAAAATTCTTACACTTCGCGGCAAACATCTCAATGTCTTGTCTCATACCCTTTCACCAATAAACTAATTTCAAATCTCTATACATTTAAGTCACACTTGGATGAATAGAATAGCGGGAGCCATTAGCCTTCGCCAACAACCTCGGGTTGAAATCATGAATTGAACACATATTTTACCATTATAGTTAAGCACACCATCCTTAGCTAGATTGATTCCTTGAGAATTACACATTAAAATATTTGTTTTAAGCTTATATAAATCTCCGTCTTCAAGTTGGTTGACCTTGATTTCTTCTAAGAACATGGATTTAGCTTCAATTCTAGCTAACAACACACCATCCATATCTAGAGTGGTTCCTTGAGACTTACCTATTACATTTGTTCTAATTTTATCTTAATCTCCATCTTCAAGTTTCTTGACCTTAATTTCTTAAATGATTATGGATTTAGTTTCAATACTAGCCAACAACCCACCTCTTTCAGAAACACCAAACTGCACGAACTTAAACTCTAAGGTCTGAATTTCCTTGGCCAAAAGTTGCTTGGTTCCACTCAAGTGAGCTAAACTACCCATACTTATTGCTTTTCGATTCATAGTGTGTGCCACAAAATTTTCTTTACACGGATGATATTGACTAGTCACATAATAATCGTTCAGTAATTCCATCCATCTTCGTTGTGTAGAATAAAAATACTTTTGGGTGAATACCTGATGCAAACTACGATGTTTAGTAAACACCTCACAGTTAAATCCATACGAATAATATGGCCATATCCTAAGATCAAATACCAATGCTGCCAACTTCAAATCAAGAGTGAGATAGCTCCTCTCGTGCACCTTCAATTGACATGAGGCATAAGCTATGCATTTCTTATACTGCATCACCACATCACCCTATCAAGAATGTAAAGCATTGCAATAGATAGTAAAGTTGTTACCCTTAATCGGTAATGCGAAAAAGGGGTGGTGGTGAAAAGAATCTTAAGCTTTTGGAAGTTCTCCTCACATTTTTTACTACCTTCAAACGGTACCTCCTTTTTGGTCAGATTGGCCGAGTGAATAGCATTTGAAGTAAAATTCTTAACAAAATGACTATAATATCTAGAAAATCCTACAAAACTCATAATTTCCATCATCAAACTTGGTCATACCCTAATCCCCACTACGTCAAACTTTTGGGGATCAACCATTACCCTTTACTTTAACACCACATGCCCCAAAATGCAACTGACTTTAACCAAAATTCACACGTGGAAGATTTTAGCATATAATTTTAGCTTTCCAAGGATACCCAAAACATTACGAAGATGATTATCATGTTCTTCTTCTTTTTTTGAATACACCAAAATTTCAGCGATAAAGACTATCACAAAAGAGCCAAGAAAGGTCTTGAATGCTCCATTCATAATTCAAATAAAATTTATAGGTGCATTAGTCGACACGAATGACATAACCAAGAATTCATAGTTCCCATAACGAGTCCTAAATGCTCTTTTGTATATCTTGAGGCCTAATATTCAACTGATGATACCCGGATTTAAATCAATCTTAGAGAAAACTGTTGCACCTTGTAATTGGTGGAAAAGATCATCTATCCTATGCAAGGGGTACCTTTTTCAAATAGTGACCTTATTCAACTGTCGGTAATCTATACACGCTCATGCTAAAATTCTTTTTCTAATCAAATAAAACCGGAGAACCCCAGTCACTATGACAAATAAAACCTTTATCAACAATCTCATGGATTTGAGTCTTACTCTTTCTCAACTCTGCAGATACAGATGATACGGAGGGATAGAAATGGGGCACGTACCAGGCTCTAAGTCGATACAAAAATCTATATCTCAATCCGGAGGCATGTCGGGCAAATCATTCTGAATAATTCACCAAATTAGACGACAACTTGAATAGACCCAACGGATAGAGTTTCAACCTCAACATCCCTATCATGAGACAAATAAGATAAACAACTTTGCTCTACTAATTTACAAGCATGGATGGCAGACATAATCTTCACTTGATTAGGTTTGTACCATCCTTCCCACTCTAATTTCCTCCTTCTCAAAATTTTTGGAGTCACAAATATAACATTACAATTAAGAACAACATAATGAATACACAACCAAGACATGCCTGAATATTTCAAAGTAATCCATATACAAAATCACCAAATTAAACAAAGTATGAAATCCCATAAACAAAATAGGGAAAGAATGAT